CCTCCCCCCTCCCCCCAGTCACCCACCCACCTCTGACAGGCCTGTCTCCTGCAGGGGATTTTTCTGCACATCCCAAACCTGGAGGATTTTGGACACCTGCTCTCCATAGCCAATTATAACACATCCCGCCTGCACCCCGACCTCTGGCAGATCATGGAGAACCCCCTGGTGAGTAACCCTGGCCCCCCTGTCCTGTGAGTGACTCCACCACTGGTGAGTAACCCTGGCCCGCCCCCAGCCCTGTGAGTGACTCCACCCCTGGTGAGTGACCCTGCCCCCTGTGAGAGGGGGACTAGCACCAAGGTTCCCTGTAAGCTGGGCGCTTGTGCGAGGGCTCAGGAGATTCCAGTGCCACACTGATTAGCAGAGCGCCCACAGCTGGGTTTGTGTTTCTCCTGGTGGTGCACATTGGCACATGCCTTGGTGCACATTAAACAAATATTCCACACATGGATGGAAAAGGTTAGAGGGAACTTTGTTTGGGGGAGGGGCTAGGGCCAGCAGCCAATATGTGGGGCATGGTATGGGGGTAATGGTGGATGGGTAAGGAGGGAAACTAGGCAGGAGGCTGGCTGGGGGTGGGGGAGGAGAGATGGAGGCAGAGGATTTCTCTCACATTGTATTTGGGGTACCCCAGGACTGGCAGGAGAAATACATCCATGAGAACTACTCCCGAGTGCTGGACGGGGAATTGGTGGAACAGGTAACCCCCTGACCCCCACATCTCCCCACCACCTCCCCAAAACCCCATCCACCACTACTGCTCAGGAGCAGAGCTTAGCAGCATCTGCCCTGCCCCCCACCCATGGGAACACTGGGGGGCTGGGCAGAGAGTCAACCCTAACCCTAACCCTATCCCGCCAAATACCTCTGTGGGACCCCCCGCCCCCCCCAGGTGTCTTCCCGCACCGATCCTTTCCCATACTTTGGGGATGCTGCCCCTACATGCACCCACACACACACAACTTCCTGTACCTCCCTGGGCACCCCCTGCCTGCCCCACAGTGACCCACCACCAGTACCCCCCTCCTTCCCAGGCAGCCCTGTCTCTAACCCCTCTCCCCACAGCCCTGTCCCGACGTGTATTGGTTCCCCGTCCTCACTGAGCTGGCCTGTGACGAGTTGGTGGAAGAGGTGGAGCATTATGGGATCTGGTCCGGAGGACGGCATGAGGTGAGTGGGTGCAGCCCCTCCTGCAACCAAGCGCCCTCCCCACTGCCTCCCTGCCCACTGCACTGCACCCTGCTCCCAGCACCATAGCCTGGGCCCCTGCAGCCCGGCGCCCCCTGCTGCCCCATCCTGCTCCCTGCAGCCCGGCGCCCCCTGCTGCCCCATCCTGCTCCCTGCAGCCCGGCGCCCCCTGCTGCCCCATCCTGCTCCCTCCCGCCCC